AAAGCGCTTTGCTCAAGAACTTGTTGCGAATGTGAAAAAGCAAGTCAAAGTTCGATCCACTATTAAATTGAAGTTCAGTGAAAAATAAAATATATTTTGTAATATTTTGTCCAGATAAAAAAGAATCTGATAAAAAGCTGCAAGCATTTTTAGACACAAAAATATACAGCTGTTTCGTGAAAGGTTGTCGGAAAAAATCGCACGCGACAATCCCGAAAGGTAATCTGGGATATGATCAATTAATTTTAACCCTATTCAGATAGTGCCCCCCTATGTATCTCGAAAAGTATTGACACTATGAAGATGAAACTTACATGGTGTATAACGCATCCGAAAATCTTTATTTTAGTGGCAGTCACGTGTCACTAAAAATCCGCCATCTTGGATCCTAAATCTTGGATTTCTAAATTGTTCAGAAATGTCAGAAAATCTCCAAATTTGTTTTGAAAAAATCAAGAAAAATATAAAAATGCTAAAACGGCAAAGATTTTGGAAGGATTTCATCGTAAAAAGCAAAATTTTTATCAGAAAACGGAAAATTAAGCTAAAAAAACAACAATTTTTTGTAAAACGATCTGTACCTCTAAAAGTATTTGTGCTATAAAAATGAAACTTATGTGGTGTATAAAGCATTCAAACATGTTTATTTTAGTCACAGTCACGAATCAATTATGATATCATATCACGCCAAAATAACGTCATACTTTAAAAATGTCCGCCATCTTGGATGGACAGAAATGTCAGAAAATCACCAAATTTGATTTGAAAACATCGAAAACAATATAAGGATGCAAAAATTGCAAAGATTTTGGAGGAAACTATTCGTAGAAAGCGGAAATCTCATGAAAACTGAAAATTAAGTTGAAAATACCAAATTTGGCTAAAACGGCATGTCAAAACTTGGTTGCCATGGAAACATCAAGTCACGTGATCAAAAATTGACACACCAAAATGTTTCCAGATAATTTTTAGGAAACGTCATAAGGTTTGGCTATGATTGCTTGAATGCTCTTTAAGTACGACAAATTTGAAATCAGCGCGGGCGCTTTCTGCCCCCCCAGGCAGGATAGGGTTAATAAGTCAAATAAATACATCATCATTTGTTGCTTTCTTTTAGCACTCGCAAACATACCTCCATGGCGTCTCTTGCCATTTTCTCATATTTCCCTGAAATGCTGAAGTCAAGTAACCGTGAACTTAAAACTACCCACAATACCTTTCGGGATTGTCGCGTGCGTTTTTTTCCGACAACCTTTCTCGAAACAGCTGTATAATGGTATGTGAAATCAACGAGCAAAATTTTGAAATCGATTGGAAAAATGCCGAAGATATGTTGATTGCAGCCAAGAAACCAGACAATTCGTTCTCTTAATCAGCCAAAATGTTTTCCACCATAAATTTACATGATTTCGCTTCCTTCTTTCTTTGTATTTTATAAAGATAGAACATCTAACTCGAAAATAATGAACTCGAGAACTGAGTAGCAAATGTGAAGATACATCATTGAAGTTCAGTGAAAAATAAATTATTTTGGTAATATTTTGTTCAGATAATAAAGAATATCGTAAAACTGGAAACATTTATGATTTTTCTTCAATTCGTATTTTCTTTATGATAAAAAAAATTAAATCGATGAAATTTGCTAAGAAACTAATTGCAAATTAGACGATCCAACATTGAAGTTCAGTAAAATTGGAAACTGTTTCAAGAAAATGTTAAGAGCGACAATTTTAGTGTCGATGAGAATTTTGACCTGATCAGTTCTAAGTCAAATCCATTTAGAAACATATTTTGATTAAAGAAAAGTGTTCATTGTGGTCCATTGCCTTCAGCGCTTATCTACCGCAATATCGATGCGCTAATCAGCGTATCACCCCTGGAACCAGGCATTGATAAGTATTACGTTAACAAACAATGTTTAAGAGAACACGAGAGTCCAAAGCCGTCTTATTTCATGTTGCTAAGCAACATGACGTATCCTAGTAACTGGATTGAACCCACGAATATCAGTAGTTAGTTAAGTACGTTTCCAAGCCGTCGTATTTCATGTTGCTAAGCAACATGTTGAATTGTATAACTGGTTTGAATCCAGGAGTATTAGTAGTTTGTCAAGTTTGATAGCTGTCGTATTTTATGTTGCTAAGCAACATGACGAATCGTATAATTGAATCCAGGCGTATCAGTAGTTTATCAAGTGTGATCGTCCGAGTACGATTAATCTTGAAAAAGACTGTTGTTGGTGACTAACGTTACGACAACCTGAGCGAAAGTCATCTTCAGAGTCGAGTGAAATGCTATTTGTCAGATGATATTGTTTTGTCTCTGGTTATTGATCTGATTGGTCGGTTTTGTCGAAATGTGATTGGTTAGTAGTTGTCAAGTGTGTTCAGTCTATTACCGTTCCATTGTAAGTCATTTTGTTGGTTTCTGATCGAGATCAAAGTTACTTCAGTCCATTGTTTGTCTAGCTCAATCAGTGAGTCAAAAGTCATTTTTTAGTTACAAGTACTGTTGACATCGATTTACAATCCCTGATCCAAGTTGTTTCAATGCAAGTCGTTGACAGCAATTAGTAATGTAGCAATGCATTCAGCACAGTCCCAGTCAATTTCGTGTCCACTTTGTCGACGGTGTTAGTGATATAATTGTTGAGTTGCTCTTCCAAGTAACTCGTTTGTGTTCTATAAGAGTTGTGTCTAAATCAGTCCTGCCAGTCTCCAACACAACTGGGAGTAGACTATACAGTAATATTTCTCGTTGTCTGTCTGTTATAGTTAATTAATTAGTCAGTGCATGTCGTAAAGGGTTGTCGAGTGTGTGTTAAGTAACAACTTTCGTAATGTTCGTCCTATGTTCTGATTGGGTAATACAACAATCGGTTTTTCCTCGGGTACCCTCACGAAGATTTCACGAAGAAAACACTTGTTCCCTGCCCGCGACTGCGAAGACTTCTGTTTCAATGAAAACCCCTTCAAAGTCTCGTGTTCTCTTAGCAACCATCACTAAAGTACGTTAGCTACGCGAAGTCTGTTAAGGTGGCACTGCATGCATAAATTAGTCTAAATCAATTGATTCTCGAACGAAAACCCTATTATTTCCTCTCAAGTGTTTTTGTTTAATTTTTCTCAATTGTTTGTGTTTCATTTCTCTTAATAGTTTTTGTTCCATTTCTCTCAATTGTGTTTTTTTTTTGGATAAAAGTAGACAATTATTGGCTTCTACTTGTTGATATTTCTCAGACATTTTGTACGAGTTCGACTCGACTCTTTGGATATATTTTTCTAACTTTTATAGCCACTATTTCTTGCTGTTCCTACGTTTCGTCTTAATATTTATCAATTAAATTCTTAGCTTTGTGCCATCCTCTTTCTTCGTCCCTCGACTCCATTTTCTTTCCATTGGCTACTCAGTTCTTCTCTCTACAAAAGATTGAACAAACAAATAGATTAATTCATGATACAATGGAAAAATACGCAAACTATACTGATGTACTATGATTTCTTGCCAAGGCCTAATTTATACATCGCATTTCAGACGCGTTTACTCGCTGAAATCGCTTTAAATAGCTTTAATTAAAGCACAATGCCCACAGAGAACGAAGCTCCCATGGTGTATTGCAACGTTGGCAACGTCAATCAAGTCAGTAAAGAATTACTACATTCGACGCCACTTATAATAAATAGCTCGGGTGATGTTGTTTTACTAACAGTATAGCTCAAAATACTCACCTTTGTAGTTTAATCCGGCCTTGAACAGTCATCTTCACAAGGTTCTTCACGTTCCTGATATTTCACCCTGCAGAAATGAATAAGAAAACGTTTTTAGTATTTAGAAGCTTACTGAAACCACAAAGCCAACGTGCAGTGCAATGCAAGCGATATTTGTAACACGTAAGCGCGGTCCCTCCATGAATTCACGACAACTAAATCGCAAGCCCAGCGAAAAAAACATAAAATTGTTCAGCTTGCACGCGAAGAGTTGCTTGTTTGTATTAATCTTTCAATTGTTTAACTAGAAATTTGAAAAGTAAGTTTGCTATGCGTTAGGAAAACGACGGAAACCGGCGCACGTGCTCAAAATTTCATTCAACGATAACGTTTTCATTTTCGACGAACACTTGAATTAATAAATATAAATATGTACAGTATATGTAATCAGTAATGATAAATGTGTACAGTAAAGTCAGCAAAACTCACCATGTTTGACTTGAACGAAGTTGCTTCTCCAATTTCCACGTCCTTCGAGTCTTCAGTCGCGTCCTTGCACGTCAACGAATTTCTTGGAGTGAGAAATTTCATGAATATGGATTAAAAACTGGAGCCAATCGTAACCTGTCACATGTAATAATAATAATGTCGGAGAAAATATTATTGTTATGGAAATTATCACAAAGATGGTGGGTTCAAAATAAATTTAACATTTACAGTACGTGTGTCGAAGCAAAAATAAATAAATTTGGAAAACTAAAAGCCATTTTATAATTAATTTCGGAGTAATTAAATATAAAGCACAAGTTGAAATACCTAAACCGAAAATAAGCGGGGCTGATTTTCGTTACAAAGGCGTTTTTGGTGGTGGTTTCGGGGCGTGGGGAGGAGTTAAAATGTTGGGCTCATTATGTATATTGAGAAAGGTATTTTGCGTCTAAAATTAAACGTTTTAGGTACACGTACGTATACAGCGTGGTAGAACTATCTAAATACAAGAATTTTCGAAGACAATATAACCGGGCTTTTACAGTTTATCTGCTTTTTTGCTTGAAATCTATCAGTGAAACTAAGAAATTACATTAGTCACGCCAGTCACGCTGAAGTCTGATGTTTGTATAGTGCCTACATTCAATGTTCTTGTCTCTGAGCAGTCCTTGAAGATGGATTATAGATAATTCCACAATATAAAGCCAGAGTTGAATAAGAGGTACGAATCGTTGTTGAACCATCAATCGCAGACGTTCCATGTTGCACCATATCATCACTCGCAGACGTTCCATGTCGCGGCACCGTTCCGTGGCCGAATGGTTAGTGCATTGGACTCCAGATCGAGCGATCCTGGTTCGAGTCCTGACCGGGGTCGATGCCTTGTGGCAAGGCACTTTACTCTCGCAGTGCCCCACTCCACCCAGGAGTATAAATGGATACCGGCGACAAAATGCTGGGGGGTAACCTGCAATGGACTAGCCTCTCATCCAGGGGGAGTAGCAATACTCATAGTCGCTTCCGTAATACAAAGCGCTGGCAGTTGTGGCTCGTGAAGATTAAACTCTGTATACAAGGCAATTAGCTTATCAGGCCGGCACTTTTATACTTCACTTCCATAGCCATGGAATAGATAACAGGGGCGGATCCAGGAATTTTAGAAAGAGGGGGCCGTATAAATTTCTATGAGAGACAATCTGGACGTGTTAGCGCGCCTTTCTAGGGGGGTCCGAGAGGATGCCCCCCTGGAAAATTTTGATAACTTAAGTACCCTGAGATGCAATCTGGTGCATTCCAGGCCCGTAGACAGGATTTAGAACGGGGGGGGGGGGGGGGGGGGCGTTAGAGTACCAGAGGTGCGAGCTTCTAGGGTGGTCCTGGGGCATGCCTCCTCGGGATATTTTGAAAGATTTCATTTCGTGCGTTTTGAAGGCAGTTTGATATGAAACCGAACTTAAAAACATGAGTATTTCTGGAACTGTTCAGTTAAATTCAAGAAACCGCTTGATGATGAAAGAGTAATAAAAATACATATTGCAGACCTTCGATTAAAGAGATTTTCAAGCCAAAGGAGTGAATATTTGGATGAAGAAAATGACTCGCTTGATGTTGTCTTTGTCGATGAAGACGATATGTAAACACGTTCAAAGCTGCGATTGTTTTGGTTTATTGGTTTATTCAGACTTCACTCCCCCCCCCCCCCCCCCCCCCCCCCCCTCCCCCCTGCCCTACGGGCCTGCATTCTGGGCGCTTAAATTTGGCAAATACCATCCGATAGTCGTTGTTTTCAAAAACAAATCCCAGACACGGCCCCTCCCCTAGATCCGCCGCTGGATAAAGTATTAAACAAAATGCAACGTTTAGAATGGTGGGATTGCTAGGTGCTGCGATGTAATCGTATCGGATCCTGGTATGCGTAATTGTACGTTTGGGCGGCCACTGCATTAGCACGTGACAATAGAGGATGATCTAAGAGAAGGATTCCCCGTGCCCCATGATAATTTTTTGAAATCTATTAATAGTTTCGCGCCATGCTGCAAGAGTTATTTTTACGCTTCTCTTAGATCATTCTCTCTTGATCACTGGTATTCGTAATTGTACGTTTGGGCCCCACTGCATTAGCACGTGTCAGGTTTCACAGGTTGAAAAGGAGCTCCGGAACTACATTAAGCCAGACTCCGAGTATACGAAGCCCCTACAATGTTCACAGCATTGTGGACACTTTCTGTGCTAGCTACGATGTCCGTTCAACTGTAGGAGAATACCCAGCCCCCCCCCCCCCCCCCCCCCCCCCATGAAACGCGCTTGCAGTTCATCGTGGTAGTTGTATTCAACATTACAAGTCAAAGATGGCGAAATATGATTATTCAGGCATGTTTCATAGAGGGAACTGGGAATTGTTGTCGAACTATTTTAAGAACATGATGAAAACCCCCAAAAAGTAAACACTTGAAAATCCTTGCAAGCAGCACGCACTTAGATTGTACTGATTGGTCGAGACAATATTAAACTTCCGCATTCAGCGTCCCCATAGACGCGATTCTTTTGGTCAGCACCAAAGAAATCTCGGATTGATTACTTCTTTTCTGCCTCGGTTTTTTACCAGCAGACGCACCGTGGAAAGGAAGCTGTATTTCCTTCCGCCCAGCGGGTGACATATGAGGTCATACAGAACGTGCTCCATCAGAAATATATTTGGCTCTTGTTTATGCTGGCTATAATATCAGTTTTATTATCGATTTATATTATTTTAAATAAAATGAATACATAAAAAAAATATAAAAAGAAAATTAATGCCCGAGCAACCTTTCGTGGCAATGATTCAGTTTTGTGCTAAAACTTCCGCCATGGATTTTGCTCTGAAACGGCCCTAAAACCGGATATTGCCTGCCTCCTTCCGTATATAAAACTAAGGTCAATTTGCATGAATTATCGGGCGTAAATTTCATTTGATTTGCAAAATGTAAATATTGTGCTTGACTGAGCGTTTGTCTGAGAAAGAGTCAGACAGGAATTACGTTTTCCCGACGTTTCTTCGAATATTTCGCAACAATGCTGGGATAGCTTCTGTAAAATATGTTTTCACAGCAGTCCAAGGTATTTGTTGCGCTTCTTGTTCATATCAATTCGTGCTTGACAGTTCCTTTGAGCGAGTTTTATCCGTATGGCGTGAGTGAAGGCGATACAGCACTTCCGCCTAATGACGATGGTAGCTCTGGAGTGATACCAATTTCAATTCAGTTCCCGTATTTCGACCGGAACCACGATTCTCTCTACGTAAGTATAGCAAATTCATTGTTGTTCATGCTCACGTATACGTTGTTCTTGCATACGTTTATTTAATAATACTGTACGGTATCTTGAAGTGTCTATATATTTTTGCTATGTTGGTGTATCTCACCGAGTAACAATTAGCGATAATTCGAGACTAAAAGCTGAGTGAAAATGTTGAAATTGGCCTCGTATGCGTATTCTTCAGGCTAATATATAATTTGCCTAAGGGATATAGTTGTCTGAATGATAAGTTGTCAATTCGATTATAAAGTATTGTTGCTGGGAACACTCTAGCGTGATGTCGAAATATTGACGAAGCTGGATTTTTGTCTCGCTCTTATTTAAATATATACTAGAAAATTGATCAATAATTTATCAAAATACTTCATTTTAAAAAACCATAATGGCTTTTGAAATAAATGAATTTTTAATGTTGTACGTTCTGTGGTGAATTACATTTGGTGGACAAGGGACATGCAGTCGCTTCTATCTTCACTTTCATACAAGCTTTCTTGTCGTGTTTCAATATTTTTTTCCGGGAATTTCCACGCAATTCATAATAACGCACGTGTTAGTCGGTCACGTCATCAAGTCACTTTCTAAAGCGTGTACAAAACAATTGAAGTCTGGTTATCACAGAAAATCACTTGAAATTCTGTCAAAATGCGACGAGATTCCAGCGAAATACAGACAAATGTAAAGGCCGAATCATTTCGTGTTGAAAATAATATATTCGCAGTGAAGGCGCGTGACCTATTCTTATACATGACATCAGCGAGTTTCTTTTAGCGTTGAACAGTTGAACAAGTAATTTTTCTACACAACAAGATCGACAGCGATAAAAATTTCATGCATGGCTTATAATTTTTCTTCAAAAACTTTACAACCCAGAGGAAAAGTACATGTAATCATTTTGAAGCTACACTGCCAAAGGCGAGCAATGTTTTTCGCTACTCGCTCAGAATAGCCAATGATTAGCTTAAGCCAATAGGATTTATACTACTAAATTATTATTATTTTATGTTAGACTGTTCACAGCTTCTCTATTTTCTCAGATCGTTGTAGCTGCGAGCGAACTGGAACTGAGCGCGAAGCTGTTAGCGTCGAGAAAATAGAGAGGCTGTGAACAGTCTAATTTTATGTTTAATCAGGGTATCGAATGGTAATGCGAGCACAGCCCGGTTTCCATATGATCGCAACGATCGCAGTCGCAACGGTCGCAGCGATCGTTGCGATCGTGCGATCGTTGCGATCATATGAAAACCACTCAAGAAGATTACGATCGTTGCGATCGTTGCCTGAATCATATAATATGGAAACCAGTTTGCGAGCACGAGCATTGATTGCAAAAACTACCTTCACTAAAAACCGAGCATGCGAGCACTTGTAAATATATGCGAGCACGAGCAAACGAGCACCCACTAAAATTTTGCGAGCAATTCGAGCAGAAGCCCTAATTTTGCGAGCGCTTGTCTATGAAAACTGTTGAGGGACCATTAAAAAAATCCGGGGAAAATACAGTGGTGTGATTTTTACGTGACCTTCGATTTCAGGTGAACACAAATGGAGTAGTGTCATTCTTAGTTGCAGTAAGTCAATACACTCCACTTCCTTTCCCCCTGGGGATGAGCGACGCCTTATTTCGCCATTCTGGGGTGACGTTGATACCAGAAATGGAGGGACCGTATCGTACAGGGAGTCCACAGATCCCGTGTTATTACAGAGAGCTACCGGGGACGTTCACCGCGCCTTCCTCGCTCATCAAAAGTTCTCGGCAACATGGATTTTTATTGCCACCTGGGACAGGGTGGCTTTCTTTGGAGCTAGTGGAATTTCTCGGAGCAAGGTAATGGTCAAATGTTACATTAGGCACGCAACTAAGATATTTAAGCAAAAACCTTGGAATGTCGTTTTTCTGTTTCCCCATGCCACTTATAGGTCTTCAGTTTTAAAGGAATATTGGCGTAAACTAAAACAGTTTTAATTTGATCTGTTCGGGGGTGCGGGGGGGGGGGGGGGGGGCCCCCCCCCCCCCCCCCCCCCCCCCCCCCCCCCCCCCCCCCCCCCCCCCCCCCCCCCCCCCCCCCCCCCCCCCCCCCCCCCCCCCCCCCCCCCCCCCCCCCCCCCCCCCCTCCCTACGGGCCTGTATATTGTTTTGGTCAGCCTGTCAGCCTGCACGGCATAGATACAAGCATAAACACATATAATGGGGATGTTTTGTTGCCAGGTTAACACGTTTCAAGCAGTGCTGGTCACGAACGGACGCCATTCGTTTGCCATCTTCAATTACAATCTGATAGTATGGACAACTGGAACAGCCAGTGGAGGAAGTGACGAGGGACTGGGTGGCACTCCTGCTCAGGTGAGTAACAGTAGGTTAGACACACACACAGTTACATAGTAACTGTATTGGCAAAATATTAAAATACACTAATTTGTGTTTGACGGCAACTGGTGCATTTGTGTGAGCTGTAAAAGGTAAAACTCAAATGAAAATCCCCAACCAAAAAATTCCACCTTTGTAAAACCTTAAGAAATAGAAAAAGGCGCGCGTGTTTGCGTAGCCTGATACAAACACGAGAGAAAGTTGAGATAATTCGAAAGA